TTCGTTCCAGTTTCGTACCATTTTCGTTCCAGTTTCGTTCCATTTTCGTTCCTCCCCCTCCCCCAGCTGCCATCTGGGCCTAAGAAATTGTCAGGGCAGCCCAGACCGCCAACATGCCATTCCTCAGTTCGAGCGGACAGAAGGGGCGACGGCCCGCATGATGGCGGCACTAAGGGTTTATGAGCGAACCGTGCAGCTCTGTCCCGTGCCTGCCAGCGCCGTAGCCCAGGCATTCCCGAAGGCGTTCAGAGGTAGTGAACGCTTTAGCATGCTGGCAAGGGAAGGCCGCCTGAGACTCCTGACCTTTTTCCGACTCCGAGGCCCGAGCTTTCCCGAGTATTTTGTTGTGCACCGACCTCCCCAACCCCCCCCCGAACCGAAGCGAAAGGGAAGGGGCAGAGGAGGCCAGGGCAGGGGAGACGAGGAGCCAGCGAGAGGGCATTCGTAAATGCGGGTGCTACCCTGCCCGCGGACCCCTGCGTAGGGATAGGTCGGTGCAGGTAGGGCCCGAGCGTCTCAGATGGCGCCAGCGACCCCCCTTTCAGCAAAGTGATCTCAGCTAGGCCACCAGATGTTGTAATGCCACGCTAGCCCCGAGAGAGTGTAGCACCGAACTGGCCCGAGAGCTCGATCGATCGATCCTCCTCCTCCTCCTGCTGCTCCTCCTCCTCCTCCTCCTCCTCCTCGTCCTCCTCCTCCTCCTCCTCGTCCTCCTCCTCCTCCTGGTCCTCCTCCTCCTCCACCTCCCCCTCCTCCTCTTCCTCCTTCTCCACATCCTCCTCCTCCTCCTCCTCCTACCCACTCCTCCTCCTCCACCTCCTCCTCCTCATCATCATCATCATCATCAGTCATCCATCATCATCATCACAATCATCTCACATGATCATCGATCATCATGATCATCATCATCAACATCAACATCATCACACCACCACACGACCACCACCACCCTACCGTATCATCATCATCATCGATCTTCATCATCAATCATACATCATCACCCATCATTCATCATCATCATCATCATCTCATCATCATCATACATCCACCATCACCATCACCATCACCATCACCAAATCACCACCACCCAATCTCATCCATCATCATCTCATCAGCATCATCATCACTCATCATCACCATCCTCATCCTCCTCCTCCTCCTCCTCCCTCCTCCTGCTCCTCCTCCTTCCTCCTCCTTCCTCCTCTCTCCTCTCCCCCCTAATTCCCCTCTCCTCCTCCTCTACCCCTCCTACCTCCCTCCTCCACCTCCACTGTCCCTACTCCTCCTTCCTCCTCCTCCTCATTCGCTCTTTCCCTCCTCACGGACGCGCTTCCTCCAGTGGCAAAGCGCTTGCCCAGAGGTGCCATCGTGGACCACTTGAGGGCCCCACGTCCTCGCACCCCTCCTCCTCCTCCTCCTCCTCCTCCTCCTCCTCCTCCTCTCCTCCTCCTCCTCATCCTCCTCATCCTCCTCATCCTCTTCCTCCTCCTCGTCCTCCTCCTCCTCCTCCTCGTCCTCGTCCTCCTCCGCCTCCTCCTTCTTTCTCCTCCTCCTCATCCTCCTCCTTTTCCTCCCCCGCAGCCCCCTTATAACCGAAGAGCGCTCTTGGGCCGTCTTTGGCGCCTCTTGGTCCGTCTTGGGGCCGTCTCGGGGCGGTCTTCTAGGCCTCTTAGAAGGCTTTTTGGGGGCTTCCTTGGCCGTCTTGAGGCCATGTTGGCCGTCTTGGGGGGCCCGGAGATCCCCCGGCGGGCCCAGTAAGGGCCCGGAACGGCCTCACAACAGCCTGCGGCGGGGCTTGGCAGGCCCAGGGCTCCGGAGGTATTTAGGGCCCCCTAAATACCTCGCGATTCGGTCGCCGACCTTGCCCCAGAAAGGTCCCCCAAGGACGCCCCAACGACCCTCTTCCTCCTCGCCCTCTTCGCCCTCTTCGTCCTCCTCGTCCTCGTCTACCTCCTCCTCCTCTTCCTCCTCCTCCTCCTCCTCCTCCTCCTCCTCCTCCTCCTCCTCCTCCTGCGGCTTTCGCTCTGCGACGGGCGCTGTCCATTTCAAATGGACAGCGCCCGTCGCAGAGCGGAACTGGGCACAACGCAGCCAAAATGGCGCGGGAGGCGTCACAAGCAGGCACCAAGAGCACGTCAACGAAGGTGCCGATGGGACGCCGGTGTCAAACTGGCGAACGACCACCCACCGGGTAGAACAGCAGCACGACAACCCCAGGACGCAACTTGCCGACGAACGTGTCCGGGAGCAGCCACACAGACCCAGCAAACGCGCGGCTATTGGCAGGAAGCGTCCGTGAACATGCTCGCCAGGTAAGCTTGTCGAACTCGGCGTCCTTTCAACCTGGTAGTTTACAGACCCGGAGAAACAAGCAGGCGCACCCGAACGAGCAGCGTGAACGAGCCCCGGTCGGAACGGGCACGACGCAGCCAAAATGGCGCACGAGGCATCACAAGCCGGCACCGAAAACTCGTCCACGAAACTGCCGAAACGCGGAGTAGGGTGAAGGAACGACTACCCACATGATACTCAGCGGCATTGCCACCCCAGGACGCAACTTGCCGAGGAAAGTGTCCAACGAAGTCACGCATACCCAACCACGTGGGGCAGCCAACGCGGCAGGAGGAAAGACGCCCATAAACAGCTCCAATCTTTGAGACCAAATGGCCGTCACAGACGTGGAGAAGCGAGCAGGCGCACATGGGAGCAGCGTGGACGACCCCGAGAGACGGGCGTAATCAACGCGGGAGACGCGCCAGCAACGTCGCAAGTGTCAGCTCGGGCTACGAGCGAAACTAGCTGGTGGGGATACTTTTTTTTGGTCGCGGTCGCGAGCGAAGAGCGCAGGCGGCGAACAGGGAGTCCGGGCCGACGGGCACACCTAATTAGCTGCTGGGCGCAGCACGAGCCGGCCGGGCCAGCTCACAAAAGCAGCAGCTGGGGCAGCGGCGGCGGGGGGCTGGCTGGCTGAACTGCAACGCCCAGGGAAGCTAAGGCATCGTGCAGCCCTGCGGCGAAATGCCAGGGAATTCTGTGTTACGCGCTGCGGCGCCAGTCCACTCCGGTGGAGGTGCTTGTCGGGACAGGCGGGGATATCCTGCACGTGCATTCCTCACAGACACGGTGGTGGGGAAAGGCGAGGTACACACTGGTCGAGTCGCCAGGGGGCGCCACGGGCCAGGGCCGTGCCGACGGCGTAGACCTGCCAGGTCGGCTGGGCCAGGGCCGTGTCGACGGCATAGACCTGCCTGGTCGGCTGGGACGGAGCGGGGATGAAAGCACAGCGTCCGACGGAAGGCTGGACCACTCCGAGACGCCACGCACGTATCCAGTGGGGCACACCAGTCCCGAGCAGGGGCAACGAACCAGCCCGGAGACGATGGCACCTGTGGGCCCGGTCCGTGGCCACACGTTCACGACGTGAGCGCCGCAGAGAACCGCGCAATGCGCGGAAAGGAAGCCTGACTGGCGGAGATGGACGTCGCCAGCGCGGCCGGGAGAGTAGGCACGGCGCCAGGGGGCGATCACCCACATTGCGATGCAGGGTCACGAAGTCCTTGAAAACCACCCAGCCCGTGAGGAACCTTCCTGTGGTGGGGGCGGTGGGGACAGACATCACCAGCCGGCCACATGGAGGGGCCCGCCAGGGACACCCGGCGCCAGGAGAGAGAAGGGGAGAGGGGCGGGAGCCAGGGCCCATGTTCCAGGGATGCAGCTAACGGCTGCTTAACAATTGAAGCATATCCTGGGCAAGACACAACATGGATCCACTGAGACAACCCGAGCCCCAGAGAGCCCAGCTTGACGGTCAAGACGGCTGGCGGACGATCTCCAAGCTATGCCCCGCCCCCCTGTGATGCTGCGCCAGGATATCCGCTCGCCACGGCCAAGGGGAAACCCGAGAGATGCCCAACAGAGACCCCAGAGGGGGAACTTTTTCCGTCGCGGCGCGGCAGAAGCAACCCGCTCGCGCGTCGGGGCGAGACCGGGTCACGCCCGGAGGGGGGGGAACACGAGGCCTCCGCGGCACCCCAAAACCGCCTTCAGGAGGCTCCCGAGTTGCCTCCACAGAGATCCCCACAGGCATCCAAGAGGTCTCTGACCTACAACCCCAGGCACGGTGGAGGAAGGGCCGGAGGCCACCAGATACGCTCGCCCTTCGGCGCTGGCTTGATGCGCGTCGAAGAGGCGTGATGCCTGGTGATTGTGCAATGCAAATTCTCGCGACAACCGTGCGGGGACACACTACAGAAGGCCTGTGGGCACGTCGGTCGGTCAGCCTGTTGGCACGAGCTCGGGCAAGAACGCATCTTGATCTTGGTTGCAGCCCCCGGGTCTTATATTTATTTTGCCACGCCTCTCCGACCAATGCAGTAGATACACACAAACGATAAGACATCTCGCTGTAAGAAATATTGGGGCATATTATTCGTCGATGTTTAAGGGCCTTACAATGCCCCAAAGCATCTGTCGGTCTTTGAGACCATCTGGGGATAAGACATTTCCATGGTGTACCTGCTGGCAGGCCAGTTTGCTGTTTCTGTTTACTGTATCTCTCTGTCCTCACTCTCCTGCGGGAAATACGATTTACCGAGGTGTCTTGCGGGTCCGCAGGGGGCTTCCCTGGGGGTCGCTTGGGGGCCTATTGGGGCTTCCGGGGGGCCTCTCGGGAGCCTCACGGGGCTTCTTGGGAACCTCTTGATGGCCTCTGGGGGCGTCCTGGGAGCCTCTCAGGCCGGAGACCTCGAAATGTCGCGCTCTTCGGGCCCTCTTGGGTCGCTCTTGGGACTCTCTTGGGGCGCTCTCGAGGGCCTCTTGACTTATCTGGGGAGCCTCCTGGGCCGTCTCTGGGCTTTCTTGGGAGCCTCTCCGGCCGTCTTGGAGCGATCTGAAGGGCCTCTGACGCCGTCTGGGACCGTGGGGAGGCGGAACATGGGAGAGAGCAAGAATGCTTCAAAAACCATTGGAAAATGTATGATTGTCGGCTTCTGGGGCCCTTTGGAGGGGCCTCTGAAGGTGTTTTTTTTGTATGTCTAGCGATGCGGACTGTATACAGTTGCACGGCGGTGTGGCTCAATCCTGCAGCGTAGCTCTCCGCGGCAGGGAATCCCACCTGATCTGAAGGCAACGGCTGCAAGGTCCAGCTCCTAAATACGCAACCATGCTGCGAAAAAGCGGGCTGACCTAGAGGGCCTCGTGCCTCTCACCTGGCGTGCCTACCCGAGTGCGTAGGCACTGGGAACAACTCGAACTAGGCCTTTCGAGGAGGGGCAGCCAACACCCCATCGAGGGAGCGAGGATTCCTAGAAAGGAGGTGAGGAGCCCTCATCAAGAAGGCAATCGGCTAAGAAACCCAAGCAAGATTTGAAGAAACGTCGTAACTGGCCAAGCTCCGAGCCAACTATGGGCATGATGCTCGCAGCAAGCTTGAGCTAGTGAGCCAGCCGCTTGTGCGGGGAGGGAGGAAGCCCAGCCAGCTAGTGATCAAGCTTTCAAAGAACATGTCCTAAGATCAAGGTCGAGACAACTGGATCTTCAACTGCCGAGTGAGTGTCCTCTCCGTCAGCCAACGGACCTGTATTCAAGCGCCATGGCCCAGACTGAAAAAGATGATGCACTCACCGCGGAAGGTGGACGGGCGGCGCGGAACTTACATGGCACAACGAGACCAGCACGAGGTCTGCGATACAGTGAAGCTCGAAGCCAACAACTCGTCACCAGCTGCAAGCTTCAAACACGTTGCAAAGAGCAACGAGCTAATAGCCGGCCTCTCGGCCAGCGGCGGAAAATTAGAACAGCCTGCGTGGTACGATCCACCGATCCCCGCTAGCCAGGGGTGAGAAGGCGCGTGTGATGGTTATCTGCTCCCAGACGGCAGGAAGAAAGTACCATCGGGACGATATGAGAAGGGATCTCTGAGAATCGGCGGGTCTGGAAAATGTATCGGGCACCGCGACCGCTCCAGAGCGTTAAAGAATACTGTGGGACCGTTCTTGAACGCTTTCTCCAATCCTGAGCTTGCCTGGCCGTTCCATCTTCCCTCTCCGCAGGAGCCCCACCCCTTTGATGGGGGAGCCCCTGCGAGCCCATCTGGGGAAACCAAAGGGTACCGATACCGCTACTCCCCGGACCTCTCCTGGGGTGCGTTCTGACCAAGATTTCGATGCGAATCCAGCGGTGGCGACGAGGGCCTCCCAGGAGGCGGAGAAAGAGGAAAACGGACGAAGGCTAGCAGTATGGGTGCCTTTGAGCGTGTTTTCTCAGACTCTGGCAAATTTAGTCGCATGGACGGGGGGGGGCCTGAACCTGCAGCAAGCCGCAAACGCCTTGACGAGCGGAAAGTACGCAAGTCGAAAGGCATTTGCACGCTCCGATTCGACTGAAGAGGGGCGAAGAGGGGGCGGGGGGGGGCGAACGCCATGCAAGTGCAAATAAGCGTGCGTGCGGAACGGTTCCCACCCCCAACGCGGAAGCAGTGGCCCCGCAGGCCGACCCCACACCCCCTGGGCGGGACGGGTGCCGCCTCCCGCGGGCCCCGCGGCACCCATCAGCACAGAGAAGCCCTCCTCCTCCTCCTCCTCCTCCTCCTCCTCCTCCTCCTCCTCCTCCTGCTCCTCCTCCTCCTCCACCACCATTGAGGGCGGTTCCTTTTTCCCATGTGGCTCTCGCCTTAGCGCCGCGCACATTCGTTTCGAACATCTGCAAGAGCTTCACGGTTTGAGGGCGGGTGGTTTTCAAACTGTGGCTCTCGCCTTAGCGCCGCGCACATTCGTTTTCAAATTGGCAAGAGTTTCACGGGTTCCCATGATCAACGTACCAGAAATGGCGTTTTGGAAGGATTCTGAATTATGCGGGCGCGACAGTTATGTTGATTCGCTGTGTTGGTGTCCCCAAAATGGCGTTCTGGCATGATTCGGGATCGTCAAGACGCAGCAGTGAGGTTGATACGTGGCGCTGAAATCCCGAGAACAATGTTTTGGCACGCTTCAAGATCTTCAATCGGTTGTCTTCCAACGAGGCAGTTCCCTCAATAGAAATTAAACATTGTAGGGGCCTATGAAGAGGGAGCTTGGAGGGAGGGTTTAATCCAGCATCGCTGATGACTCTTGGGTTTCCACTGGTCCTCCTCCTCCTCCTCCTCCTCCTCCTCCTTCCCCTCCCCCTCCTCCCTCCCTCCCCCTTCTCCTCCCCCTCCTCCTCCTCCCCCTCCCCCTCCTCCTCCTCCCCATCCTCCTCCCTCCTCCTCCTCCTCCTCCTCCCTCCTCCCTCTCCTCCTCCTCCTCCTCCTCCTCCTTCCTCCTCCTCCCCTCCTCCTCCTCCTCCTCCTCCTCCTCCTCCTCCTCCTCCTCCTCCTCCTCCTCCTCCTCCTCCTCCTCCTCCTCCTCCAGCCCCGAGGGGGCCCCTCCCGTAGGGGAGGGGTCGGGACCCCAGGGTCCTCCTGGCGCAGGCGGGGAGCGCCGGGCCCGAGGGGCGAAAATCCCCCGCACCCCGGGGGACGCCGCCAAAGTGCGGTTTCCTTCCCCCGGGGGGGTCGCCAGGCCCCGTGTGCTTCCCCAGGGCGGTGCTGGGTCCCCCCCAGCGCTCGCCGCCCTGGGGCGGGGCTGGCGGCTCGTCTTTGTCGTGTCGCTCGTCCGTCTCGTGTCGTTCGTGTCGCGTCGTTCGTTTCGTCCCCCTGTCGTGTCGTGTCGTCTCGTGGTCCCGGGGCCCGGAAAACGCGGCCACCCACGGAGTGGGTGGTGGGTAGGGTTGGCGCTGAGCACGGCTCGCGCCCCCTACCCCGACCAGGGAGCGCGGAGCACGGTCTCCCTGCGCTCCCTGGTCGCGCTTAGGTCGCGCCTGCGCCGTCCGCGGCGCGGCCTGCGCCGTTTTGCGCCCTCAGGCGGCTGCCAATAGCCTGTTGAATTTTGGCTTTGCCTCATTGAGTTGGGGTCTGTGGCTGTGCGCGTCAAAAAATCCTCCTCCTCCTCCCTCCTCCTCTCCTCCTCCTCCTCCCTCCTCCTCCCCTCTTCCTCCTCCTCCTCCTCCTCTTCTCCCCTCCTCCTCCTCCTCCCTCCTCCTCCTCCTCCTCCTCCTAAACGTTTCGGCGCGAGCAGGCGCCCCCGCGCGCCGCGCCGCCGCGCTGCTCGCCCGCGGGCGGCTAGGGGGGGCTGCCTCCCCTGGCTGGGGCTCGCGCTTCTCGAAGCACACTTCGGAGCGGCACAGCGCCGAGGGGCCCAGCAGCTGGCGTACAGCCGGACTTGAGAGGAGAGGACACGGGAGAGGACACAAGACCCCTCCGAGGGCCACATTGCCATAGGAATGTAAGAGGGCACGGGTCGCGAGGCACAGGACACGAGGGCAGCCTCGATTCGGCAGGGTCGACCTGCTACTCCGGGCCGCCTGTATGGCATGGGGGAGGAGGGGTGCTGATCGGGCGGCCCCGGCAGCAGCGGAGCTGGCGCCATGGAGGCAGACCAGGGCCCCCCAGACTCAGCACGTGGCGGAGGCTGTGCGGGCGGCGGCGGGCGCTGCGGTGGCAGCGGCCGCGAGGGCGGCCCCGGGCGCGGACGGTGCGGTCGCCGCCTGCGGGGCCCCGTCGGGCGGCGAGGGCGGCCGCGCCGTCGAAGAAGAGACCGGCCCCGAGGCCCAGTCATGCGCCGTCGCACTTGGCGATCGAGGGCGGCTCGTCGGGGGGCGACGAGGTCGAGACGCACATCGAGCCGCCGCCTGGCCAGCGGGACGTGCCGCTGTCCCCGCCGAGGTCGAGGGTGCGGAGCCGCACGCCCTCTCGAGCCAGCGGGCAGCCGCGCCGCGAGGGCAGCATGCCAAGCGCGCTGGAGGAGAGGGCCTACCTGCTGAATGCCGAGATGTAGACGCTGCAGGCGGACCGCTTTCAGCTGCAGCGGGAAAGGTGCAGCTGGCGCGGGAGAAGGCGATGCTGGCGCCGCAGCCGCAGTCCGCATCCAAGGAGGCCTCCGGGCGCGCGCTGGCGGAGCAGGCCCGCAGGCAGAAGAGGGCGCCCCAAGTGGACGCGGTGAAGGCGGAGCACTCTGCTTCACCGGCCTGGGCCCCCTGGCAGCGGCTGGAGGAACGCCCAACCGAAGCGGCCAAAATGGAGAAGAAGGACAAGACGGAAAAAGGGAGAAGAAGGACCGGAAGGAGCTTGGCGTGGCTCAGTCGCCGCCGGAGGGCAAGGGAGCCGAGCGGGTCGATCCCGAAACAGCGAAAGAGGAAGGGACGCCTACGGGAGGAGGCGCCACCGCAGCCGCAGCCGTCGCCGAGCGAGGACGGCACGACCCGCGGCCTGACGCGGGTGCAGTGGAGCGACCTGTCGGTGGAGGACAACGACGGGTCGGAAGAGGACGGTACGACCCGCGGCCTGACGCGGGTGCAGTGGAGCGACGTGCAGTGGAGCGACGTGTCGGTGGAGGACGACGGGTCGGAAGACCAGGACGAGCTCCTCCGCTGGTACCTGGAGCTGGGCTCTGGCGTGGCCCTTGTACGCGGCGCTGGGGGCGAGGGGGCTGAGCAGCCGCGGTTCGGCGCTGTGGATCCCCCCTCGGTGCTGGTACACCCGACCGTCGCTGGTGGCGACGAGGAGGGTGATGACATGTTGCAGTCAAGCTATCAGTACGAGCGCGACTTCAAGGAGAAGCAGGCGGTACCTCAAGACGTGCTGGTGCACGTAGGTGGCATCGGGTACGAGTTCAAGGAGAAGCAGGCGGTATTTCAAGATGTGCTGGTGCACGCAGGTGGCGCCAAGGATAAGAAGGAGATGGCCACAGTCATCGAGGCCAACCAGGCTGCGCAGGCGCGCAGGTGGCGCAGGTGTGGGTCGCAGGAGGCGAGAATGGCGGAGTGGCGGCTTGGTCATGCTGAGCTCGTGCCGCTGAGGAGCGGCAAGGGAGGCAAGATCAACAAGATCAAGTCGGTACCTCCAGACGTGCTGGTGCATGCTGGAGGTGCCAAGGCGAAAGCGAAGCAGGGCAAGTTCATGGAGGAGCAGGCGGTACCTCCTGTGCTGGTGCACGCAGGCGGAGGTCGGGAGTTTTGCCGACCTCCGCCTCGGGAGGAAGCGGAGCAGAACGCTTACGACGACGTGAGCCTCTCTGACGACATGGGACGGTTGGAGCAGCAGTCCGTGGGCGTCAAGGAGTCGGAGGGCGAGGAGCTGGAGGCTACCCACGGGGCCCGTGGTGCGGGCTTCTCTGGGGATCGCTTCGACTCGTAGGAGATCGGGTCCATGAAGGAGTCCCTGAAGGTGCACATGCTGAACACAGAGCTCACGGAGCTGGGCCTCGGCAGCGTCGACAGCTCAGAGCACGGGGTGGCTGCCCTGCGCGCTGTGCGTAATGACCTCTCGCCCGAGCAGCGGGGCGGGGTCCGGGAGGCGCTGTGCGGCGAGCTCGGGGAGGGCTGGCTGCCTCGGTGAGGCTCTTCGAGGAGGCCAGGCTGGAAGCGCCATCCCCTCCCTCCTGCCTGGCTCCGCGGAGGCCAAGTCGTGGGGAGGGAGGGCGCGGTGGTCTGTCTGGTGGCATGGCGCCCCATGCTAGGCATCCCTTTCGCTGGGTGCGAGTGACCTCGGTCCATTATCTGTTCCACCTGTTCCACCTCCTCCTCAAGGAGTGCGCTGGGGGCGGGCCACCCATCAGCTGGAAAAAGTGCGTAGAGAGTTGAAGCAAGGAGGCGTTGAAAGCAGGTTGAGTGTCCGCCTGCCACCTGAAGACGAGGGAAGGACAACCGTTCGACCCTTGAAGCAGGAAGATGCCTGAGATAATTCGGATTTAGGAGCCCAAAGGTTAACTACTTCCAACGACCGATGATTACCGAATCCTGGTCTGGTTGGGATGGTGTTGACGATGATGACTCCCGGCCTCTCGGGGACTCTTCACTTTGAAGACCATCCGATGGCCCCAGATGGCCCAACATACAGTGGTCAAAAACTATGAGATCTGTTGCTATCAGAAATCTAAGGGCACATGCTTCAGCGATTCTGAGCTTCGCAACTTGCCTCAGGGCTCTTCGGCCCCATCGGGATCTAAGACACTATCGTGCGGCACCCGATGGCAGGCAAATGACGTAATTGGCGTGCCTGTTGTGGACCGCGATGGCCTCCACGCTTGTCCCTGCGTGGCCCCGAGACGAACAGAGAGGCTCCAAGATGGCCGCGCCAGAGAGCCAGCCCGGCAGAGGCATGGATCACCCAGAGGAGTCTTGTCCATGTCTCTGCATACGCGATCTGCCAGCCCCACTCAGCGGCTTACGGATGGCTTCACGATGGACTGGTTTTCCCTACGCACAACTCCGAATTAAACACTGTGCGAAGCAAACAATAGCTAGGCTAACTGGGAAAGGTACCCAAGCCGACCTGCAATAGAGACGCCCATGCAGTGAACCATGGTTTGAGAAAGAGAGAGAGAGAGAGAGAGAGAGAGACAGAGACAGAGACAGAGACAGAGACAGAGACAGAGCGATAAAGAAAAAGAGATGGGGAGAGAGAGAGAGAGAGAGAGACAGAGAAAGAGAGAGAGAGAGAGAAGCAAAGAGGGAAATGGAGATAACGAGAGAGAGAGAGAGAGAGAGAAAGCGAAGGAGAGAGAGAAAGAGACAGAGAGAGAGAGAGACAGAAAGGAAGAGAAGCAAACCACACCAAGCACTAGCTCAACTCCGCTCATGCCGAATGCCAAAGAGAAAAGGCTTGACGAGGAAATCTGGATCCCTCACAGAAAATCCACGGGCCCCCTAAGACAGCTTACCATTCCCCACTCCAAGGTGGCCCTAATCTGCAAGGTGTTTTCAGAACCCCCCAAGTGGCTTCCAAGCCGCCACAATACGTTGTGCCGCATCTTCGGGAGACCTTGTCTGTCCCATCGCGTCGCGTAGAACCCGCGTCGACTCCGCTCATCCACGTCGAATCCGCGTCGAATCCTTGTCGGACCCTTGTCGAGCACGCCTCGTGCACAAAGAAGGACCGCAACTTGCAGGGCGGTCAAGGTTCCGCAGAGATGCAAGATACATGACTGCCCCGATCTGGACGCGGCGAGGCGGCCGCGGCTCGCGCACCTGGCCCAGAGACCGCTCAAGGGACGCCATGCAGCTGCCAACAAAACGCCGAACGAGGCTTCAACAGAGCCCAGGAGGGTCCCAGGAACTCCCCCGCACAGCCCCATCATAGAGCCAAGGCTTGGAAACGAAAGAGAGAGCACTGCGGGCGGAAGCGGGCCCGGCTCCCCGGGCCTTCCTGCAGCTTTTCCGCCCAGGTTCCTTCGGCTTTCTCCCCGGAGCTTCGGTGACGCGATTTTCCCCATCCGGGGCACCCGGAATTCCCAACCCGTTCCGCAGGGCCAGCTTTTGCATCCTGGACAGTTTTTGACGCCTCTGGGTCCCGCGAGGGCCCCAGAGGCCGACATCGGCGAACAACAAAAGAGCGCCGCCTCGACTTTGTCGGGGCGTCGGAGGCCCGGGCCCTGCCCACGGCGACAGGCGCTCCACCATGAAGGGTCCCTGGGACACACAAACTAAATACACACAAATAAACAGATTCCCCATAGTTTCCCATATTTTCTGGGTTTTTGTCTTCCCCCCCACTTCCCATATTATCCCATATTTTCTGGGGAATCGACGATTAATTGTGTCTGTGTGTTTTTTTCCGTCCTGACACGAGTCCTCGGCCGGGGCCAGCGGAATGGCGCAGGCCTCCGGGGCAGCCGACGTGTGGCTGTAGCACGTGGCTTTGGCGCAGGCGAGTGGCCGCGGGAGGTGCTCGCCGCGGCTGCGCGGCCTCGGGCCGCCAGGAACGTGTCCGAAGGACTGGTGCGGTTCCTGGCGTCTCGGCTCCAGGCATCGCGCTACTGGACGAGCGCGTTCCACTACTCGCAAAAGAACTGCTCGCAAATGGTCTGGATCCCCCGCGGGGGATCTACGAGAAATTACGTCAAAGCAGACAGGTGCTTCTTGGACGTTTGCGAGTAGGCACTTTGCGAGTAGTGGAACGCGCTCGGCGAGCTACCACGACCGGCGAAGGAGAAGGAACGAGGGGGCTTCTCCTGACCACGGCTGGCCTCGGCCACGGAAGCACGCGTTTACACACGTGTGTGATCCAGAAGCTCTCATAAAGGGGGACGTCGCACACAATGCTGGGGCACTGCTCTGAACACAGCGCGCATCGTTCAAAGCAGTTGCATGGCACTGCTTTGAACGATGCGGAATGCTGACCAGAAGGCGGCAGGGCAACAGCAGGATCGCCTTCGGCGTGCCCCTACATCTTGAAATTCTCCTCCTCCTCCTCCTCCTCCTTCTCCCTCCTCCTCCTCCTCCTCCTCGGTCTCATCCTCCCCATCCTGTGCCCTCTCCTGCCTCGTTCTTACCTGCTGATCTGCGCCCCTCTCTGGTGTGCGAGTCCGCAGGACTAGCGTGCCGCTGGGGCGGCGACGGCGGCGACAACGACGACGACGGCGAAGACGACGGCGACGACGGCGGCGGCGGCGACGACGACGACGGCGACAGCGGCGACGACGACGGCGACGACGTTGACGGAGCTTTAATTCTGTAAAAAGCCATTATGGTACGATCATAAATCTGTGGATGTGGCTGCATCCTCCTCCTCCTCCTCCTCCTCCTCCTCCTCGCCGTCGTCGCCGTCGTCGCCGTTGCAGCGGTGACGACGACGAAGACGACGACTAGCGTGTCGCTTTTCCAGGGCGCCCCCCCCCCGCCGCGAGTAGCGATCACGGGGGGGGGGGCATCCTGGAAGGGCGCGTTGTAACTCACCCCATGAGCTCTGGAACGCCCCCCCTCCCGCGGGGAAGTCACGGGGGGGGGCTCTGGCGGAGCGCGTTCTGACTACCTCCCTTGGCCCCGGGGCGCGTTCTGACCACTGCCCCCCTCCGCCGCGACAAAGCGGTCACGAGGGGGGCGCCCTGGAAAAGTGAGCTCTCGACCCCTCCCACGAGCATCTCGTCCTTCTCACTTTCATCCTCGTCCTCCTCTTCCTCCTTCTCCTCCTCCTCCTCCTTGTCCTCCTCCGTTAGCGCTCGGCCCAGGCCCGCGCCGACAGTAGGTTCGACAACGGTTGGGCGGGCTCGCGCCTGCGTCACCGCAGCCTCCAATCGGGCCACAGATGAATGCAGGATGGGACCGCAGTCGCGGATGGGAGTGCGGCAGCGGAGGTTGGCAAGGCAACCATCGCGGATGGGAGGGCGGCGGCGGACGGGGCGGCGACGGTGGAGGACAGGACCGCTGGGGCGGAAAGGAAGAGGGCCGCTGGCGGGATTGGAGCGCATGGGGAAATAAAAGTGCTCCTCCGGCGCATGGGAACGCGGCCGCTCGAATGCCTGGGAAGGCGCTCCTTTCGCGAAGGCCGCGACCGCGACAGCGGCGGGCAAGGGGGGGCAACCCCCCGCATCCTCTGGGGCGCGAAGGGCAGGGCGCAGTTGCGCTGTTCTCATATGCGCGAAGAGAAGAAACGCCGACTTTCAGATTGGAATTCTTCGAAAACTTCATGGCGGACTGCTCCGGCAACTTAAAGGCATCACAACGCGGCCTCGAAGCTCTTCCGAGACGAATGCGAAGACCAGGACAACCCTTTCGGCACCCGCGCGCCTGTCTTCGGCACCGCAGTTGCGGAGCAGATTCCGAAGATCCTGAAGTACCGGGCAAGGGGGAAGGCGCAGGACAACAAGGACTGGGACTGGGACCAAACTGTCACAGTGCCGTGGTCTTCGCTGGAGATGGTCGCGCAGATGGATGGACCAACGATGCTGCGCGTGGTGCGCGGCCCTGGCAATGACCGCAGTCGCGGGTTGGTCCGCTGCGAGTGCGGCCATTGCCCAGACAGTGTCGACCACATGAGGCACTGCAAAGAGGTGTGCAGTGGACAGGCGCAGATAATCCCTTTGCCCACGCGGGATCTAGTCCTCATCTGCGGCGACGGCACGGGCATTCGCGTGCACCCGTCATGGAACACGCCTAAGTTCGACACGTACGAGGTGGAGCCGCAGTGGTCCCCGTGCAGGCCCCGAGGGCAGGCCTCGACAAGGGCGACTGCAATGGCACGGTCAAGTACTACAAGAACCTGCCCGCCCGTGCAAATCCAGGGCGGTTCGACGCGACCCAAGGAGCTGGGATGCAACCGCGGTGGTCCGCGCAGCCCTGACGCCGCAATTGTGGGCTGCAACCGCGGCGGACGCAGCCGTGTAACCGCAGTCGCGGCGACCAATCGCGTGGCGCCTCTCTCCTTTGACTTACTGTGCACGCCTTCGGCTGCAGTTGCGGCGTCGCCTTCCACCCGCAGTTGCGGCGCTGTAGTTGCTTGGCCGCAGTTGCGGCGCCCCCGCCAGAGACCGCTGTAATTAGGTGCTTCGGGCGCGCATCACTTCCGCTTGTGCACTGCTTCTGTCAGCGTGGCCGCAGTTGCGGAGACAGGCAAAAAGGTGGATCCCCAAGGGTCGGTCGTCGTCGTCGCCCTTCCCCTGTCGAAATTACTCGTTTCAATCCCTCCCTCCGCCGTTCCTTCTCGCCGCGTTCCACTCCGTTGGCCGCATTCCCATCCGTGGGCCGAGTTCTGTCCCGTCATCCTCGTCGCAGTCCCCTCCGTTGGCTGCAGCTACGGACGTTCGTCCTCCTCCTCCGCTTCTGCCCTGCCGTCCCCGTCGCAGACCCATTCCTCCTCCTTTCCTCCTCGTCCGAGCTCTTCGCGCCATCCTCTTCCTCACCTTCCTCTCCCTCCTCCTGTTCGTTTTCCTCTTCGCCCTCATTCTCGCCCTCGCCTTCGCCTTCCTGCCTCGCCCAAGCCGCCAGCCGTTTCCCCCGTCGGGCGGGGGCCGCGCGCGGCGGCGCCAGAAACAGTGGAGGGAGCGGCCGGCGGCGCAGGCAGCGGCGCAGGCAGCGCCGTAAGCAGCGGCGCAGTCGGGGGCTGGCCGCAGTCGCGGGCGCCCCGAGCAACCGCCGCGCAGGCTGCCAGCGGTGGTAGATCTGGAGTGTGAATCTTCATCTCTGGAGTCTGGGGAGATCCGCGAAAGCCCCGAGCCACTGGTGCGCGAGGTGTCCTCGCAGGCGTCTGCCCCATGGGGGCGGCGGCGGCCGCCGCCGCCGCGGCGCGCGCGGCCCCGGGAAGCGCAGCCGCGCGAGCGGTCTCGGAGTGCTCGGGGGCGCCGGCAGATGTCGCTGCGCAGCGCCCACGAGGTCGCCAGAGGTGCGCCAGCCGCCCCCAGGGCCGCAGTCGCGGCAGTGGCCCGGCGAGCCAGGTGCCTCGCGCGGCGCAGCCGGGAGCAGCGCGCCCAGGGACCTGCGCGCCCCCCGCGCGCCTCTCAGGAGAAGATCGCTCCAGGAGGAAGCCGCGAAGGGGAAACCGCGAGACCTACGTCGCATCACAGCAGCAACTCGGCCCCTGACTCTCGTCCTGGGCTCGGTTTGGTGAGGTGATGGATTCCGGGGTCCTCGCGTGGGAGAAAACATCACTTCACTAACGTGGGGCCCCTGGGGCCTCAGTGGGCCCTGGGGCCCAACATTCGTGACGTGAGGGTTTTCGGGCCTCGAGGGAGAGATCGCCGTCCACGGAGACCCCGCCGCCGTCGGAACCGCAGTCGCGGGCAGCGCGGGGGCCCCGTCGGAGCCGCAGTCGCGGGGGGATGCGGGGGCACCGTCGGAGCCGCCGCCGCGGGGAGGTGCGCGGGCACCGCGGGAACACGCAGTCGCGGGGGCACGCGCGGGAAAAGCAGCGGACCGGGAGCCCTCCTGGGATCCCCCCTACGTTGGGGATCGACCAACGTGGAGCAGAGGGCTCATTAGGACCACAGACGGCGGCAAGGTTCCGTCCACCACCTCCTTGGCGTTCGACGTGATAGTCGTCACGAAGGCGGCCACCAAGAGCGATCTGTGGTATGCCGTCCTGAACTTAACTGCGGCGCTCCACATCCTGGCGTGGGACCCCGAGCTGCTCCGACCCAGGGAGGAACCTGAGTCGGCGGACACTGAGCCCCTGCGGACCGAATTCAAGGACACGGTCATGCAGGCGATCACAGAGCAGACGTTTTCCCGCGGAGGCACCGAGGAGCCGTTCTGGGCAGCGAATGAGCTGTGCGACAACACGGGGCTGCTGCCGCGGCGCCCATTCTTCATCAGAAAGGCCACAGTCGCGGACCAGGCTGTTGGGGCCACCCACGCGCTTTCGATCGTGCACGTTCGCCTTCAGCTCCCTAAGGGAAATCCCAACGCGGTGATCCCGTGTGCCGTGATGTCCAGACTCCAGCCCACCGACGTTCTGGCACGGAGGCCGCCGCACCATGACCAAACAGCGCGTGAGAAAAAAATCGTCGAGGAGGCCGCGCTTGCCATCCGGGCCAAGGGTGCTCGGTTCTTGTGCGGCCTCTTCGATGTCCCAACTGAGCAGCTCGTAGCCTTGAGCCGCAGTTGCGGAGCGAGCTGCGCGCGCCCGTTCGCGATAGTGCTCGCGGCTAGGCCAGCCTTGTTTTCGGAGGGCCCCAGGCAGGCCAACGCGTCCTGCATCCCAGCTTTGTCTTTCTCGTTGGCCCGAGCGACGCGCGCATTGCGGACTACGCCATGGACAACGCAGGGAGGCCTTCCGACAACCACCCTCCGCCGCCCCTTGGTTGGATGACTCGAACTTGCGATTCCGCCATCGCTCGGCGATGGGCAACAACGACGGCGCAGCCGAAACGGGAAAAAGACTCTGACCGCAGCTGCGGAAGAAGGAGCGGCCTCGGCTTGCCAGCCCTGCCCCCGCTCGGTAAGGTCATCCAGGAGGAACTCAAGCAGGACATCTTCGGGGGGGACTGGCAGGAAGGCGCGCGCCAGAACCGCGTCTTCGTCGGGCACGGGCGCGCCGGTAAGTCGAGCAAGCAGCAGGAGGAACAGAGGCGATCTGCCGCAGTTGGGGATAAGCGGAGAGTGGGCAAGCAGCGATGAACCGCAGTTGCGGGAACAAGATCAAGTCGGTGTAGCGTGACCGCAGTTGCGGTGTAGCGTGCCCGCAGTTGCGGTGTGGCGCGTCCGCAGTTGCGGCGCGGCGTGCCCGCAGTCGACGGCCCGTGCTTAGTTGCAGTGTATGAGGGCACGGAATTGCGAGCCGCAGTTGCGGCCAGGACACGTCCGCAGGCGAAAAATGATACGTTCGCCCATCGTCATCATCATCGTCATCGTCACCATCATTGTCATCATCTTCGCCATCATCATCAGTAGCATCATCAGAACCAGCATCAGCCTCAGCATCAGCCTAACATTAGTATCAGATCCTCCTC